GTGTGTGTGTGTGTGTGTGTGTGTGTGTGTGTGTGTGTGTGTGTTCTGGATACATTTAAAGATGAACTTTGCAGCATGTCCTAATGTATTACTTCTGGGTTGTGAGAAGGAGGAATCGAGGACAGCATCCAATACTTCAGACTGCAAGAAGAAAGGAGGGGTATCTTCCAATGAGACAGGGAAGATTTTGGAAGTAGGACATTCGGGGAAGTTGCATCACAAGCACCCAATATAGGAATGTCGAATCTGAGATTATGAGAAATGCAAGCGAAGTTCCAGCTGGATATAGAGTGCAGGGTGGGAGAAATATCTAGGTTGGAGAAATAGATGTGGAGGTGACACCATATAAATGATGTTTAGAGCCTTCAGCATACATGAGGTCACCAAGGGATGATGGCCATAGAAGAGAGAGGATCAGGACCAAACCCTGGAGTCGTCAGCATGAAGCAAGCTGATCAGAGCACACCCAGAGCACACTGCACAGTTCTGGTTCTGCACCTAGAAGGCACACACTCTGGGGAGACCCAGCTTTCAGTGTGCACAGAAATTTCCTGGACTTATGAAGAGCTAGACAATCTGGAGTAGAGTGTGAGATTCCGGGTTTATAACAAGGTTGGTGATGCTTCTGGTCTTCAGATCACACACTGAGCACCAAGCACATAAAGCAGGATCCCACGTGGCTGTGCCTCAGCCTCTCCTGTGGGGCTTATTAAGTAGTGATTCGTGGGTCCACGCCCAACACTCTAACAGGGTATGTGGAGAGAGGCCTGAGTGTTTTGTAATGAACCCACGAGCAATCCTGGGGTTCCACCAGATAGAGTTGCAGTGAAGTCACTGATGAGAGCCCTCATTGTGGGAAGGGGTCTTACATCCACATTGAAATGTTGTTGTTTTTTCTAGGAAGAAAAATGCAAGACCTGCTGGGAGATACATATTTTCTCTCCCAGGGGACAGAGCCAGGTGGCAGATTGAGGAAGTGGTTATCAGCTCAACATAAAATCTCTGAGATAACAAGAGTGTAGATCTTAAATGTTTTCCCCACACAAAAGGAAATAGTA